GAAGAGAGAGAGAGAGAGAAAGTGAGAAAAGGGTCTATAAGGTCCAGAATTCAAACTGCAAATTGCAAGTAGGCCATCTAAGGATCTGGTACCTTAACCACCACACCCCCTGCTGGCCCATTCTATGAGTACTTTTAAAAATGCAAATACCTGGGCCCTAAGGTGGTGGCTTGCTGTTGGTGGTTAAAGCACGTCTACAGTTCTGGTCCTGGACCTGGTGACTTTTTTGTGAGTTTCTCATGTGATTTTCATACACAGTCAATTTGACTACCTAGGATTAACCATCACCCTCTACCTGTGAAAAAATGTGTCATGACTTTTCTGACAACCCAGTAAGTTTATCAGTTTTAACTAATACCACCCAGGGGTAGGACAATGATAATGGGAAGGCTATTCATGTGTGAGGGTTGGAAAATTCCTGTACTTTCCACTCAATTTTACTATGAACCTAAAACTAATCTAAAATAGAGAATTTGTTTTTTAATAAAACACACATTAAAGACTTTAAAAACATTTTTAAAAAATGCCTGGGGACTAGCAGATAATATGGTATAATGGTTACATCTCGACAACCACGTAGTTGACCATGGTTCAAGTCCTGGACCTGGCAGTTCAGCCAGGCAGTTCAGCATGTATGCGTGCATGCCCAAAATCCTGAGAGGAGAATGAAGAAGGGATTGATTGCAGTGTGGCCATCCCCCTGGGGGGTGGGGAGGGGGGTAGGTGATTTCTCAGAAATGAGAGACTTTGTTCAACTTTTCTAGACTCTCTTTGTTTTGTTTTCACAGGAATTTTCTTTGGGTATAATCTGTGTCACTATATTGTGGACAAAATGGAACACAATTTAATCTGGTCCTTCCTCTGAGTTCTTCCATTCCTTTTTGAAATTCAGGGCCATCACCTGGATGGTCTTTAACAAGGAACCTTGTTTAATGACTCCCACTCCTTCCTTTATCCATTTTCACATACCTTATATTTTTCTTTTTTGGGGAGAGGTTTTTGCTATAGGGCATGTACGCTCACCAGAAAGACAGAGACAGACAGACAGAAGGCAAGAAATCACCCCTGGGGGGGATGGCCATGCCGCAATCCCTTCTCTTCCACTCTCCTCTCAGGATCTTGGGCATGTATGCACACGCGCCCGGTGTGAGTTTAAGCCACAGGGTCCGGGACTGAAACCCCGTTCGACTACATGTTAGTCCAGCGATGTAGCCTTTACATCAACTGCTGATCCCAACATACTTTATATTTTAAGTAAAAGGGCAACATACAAACTAAGCCTTTGTTTTTACCTAGCTATACCAGCCAAACCTGTTCCTGCAGCCCATTTCCCAACATAATCATGCATTTTTGGTGGCCAGCTTAAAAGGTAGCTCATGAATCCTTTAATTCTTTCTTTCCAATTGAATTCTAAAACAAATCTTAATTCCTTTAATTTTAATAGTATTATTATAAGTTACTTACACTTGCTCAATATTATACATACAGCAAATATCTATCAGCTTTATTCAGTTATAAGCTTCTAGAAGACAAAGTTAGGATAGTGCTCATTTTTGTATCTACTACCAACCTAATCCAATGTCTCACAAACTCTGGCTAAGGTATATTAGGTTGAACAGGGCTCAAGTTATAGAAATAAAAAATATTATGAACAGAGGGGATCCAGAAATAAAACTGGTATTCCTTTTAAGTTCTCACTTTCAAGGTCCAGTGACAATATAGAAATAATACAAATAGTGTTAGCCTGGGACTACAACAACATTCTCCAATTTTGCTTATTGTATTTTAACTTTCAAATAAGATTTTAATCAGAGGACCTTCTGAGCTCAAGAGGGGGAGTCAGGAACTCAAAAGACATAATGTGGGAACCAGCAGTTAGCATAATGGCTATGTCACTGGACTCCCACGTAGTTGACCGCAGTTCACGTCCCGGACCCAGTGGCTTAAAACTCATGCTGGGCGCATGTGCGTGAGTGCCCAAGATCTCGAGAGAATGGAGGAGAAGGGATTGTGGCGTGGCCATCCCCCCTGGGGGGTGATTTCTCACTTTCTATCTCTCTGTCTCTCTCTGTCTGTCTGGCGAACGCACACGTCCTATAGCAAAAACCTCTCAAAAAAAAAAAGACATGTGAATAGTACAGGAATACTGTCAAGGGAGCTGGATCCCACATGGCCAACTGTACACTTGGACTCCTGACCCTAGCAAATTGAATAACAAGCTGGGCAGGAACAGCAGATGGTGTAATGACTAGGTCAATGGACTCCCACATATTTGACCATGGTTCAAGTCCTAGATCTGGTGGCTTAAAACTCAGGCCACATGTGTGTACACGTGCCTAAAATCCTGAGAGGAAAATGGAGGAGAAGGGATTGCATCATGGCTATCCCTAATTAGGGGGGGTGACTTCTCACTTTCTGTCTCTTTGTCTTCTGGCAGTGCACATGCACTATACCAAAAATCTCTTTTAAAAGAAAAACATGCTGGGCTTCCATACATGTATGCCCACACTCCATTGTAGGGGACTTTCTTCCTCTCCCTCACTGTCTCTCCCTGGTGAGCACACATGCCCTCGGTGGGGGGAAAGGTAAAATGTGTAAGATAGGCTGAAATCTCTTGAGATCACATTCTTAGAAAAATGATGTCCCCCTGCCTAAGCTCCACAAAAAAGGAACAAGGCATAAAGTCTAAGGCTTAGGGAACAAGAATGAAATAATTGCCCGCACAGAGCTCTTATGATTAGATTCCCTTTTTTTTTTTTTTTAACCGTCCTTTTCTGAGTTACAATGCTTTGAAAAGCAGCAACTATAGAAATTTATTCTTAATTTTTTGATTAATTTATATCCAGCCCCATTCTAAAAAGGATATTTGGAGCCAGCTGGTGGCATAGTGGTTAAGACAGCTAGATCTCACATGGCCGACTATGTGGTTTCAGTCCTGAATCCAGTAACTTGAAAAACACACCAGGCACATGTGCATGTGTGCTCAAGAGCCAGAGAGGAGAACAGAGGGGAAGGGAACATGGTGTGGCCATTCTCCCTGGGCTGTGCTTTCTTACTCCCCACCTCTTATGTCCCTCTCAGGTGAGTGCATGCATCCTATAACAAATTTTTTAAAAAGGGTATCTGAAGGCAAATATTCTAGTTTAGAAAAGGTATTTCTGGTACTATTTTTTGCTGTACTTTATGACAGGTACCAATATCACATCATCTAAACTCAAGAAAGCAGGCTGCAGATGCTGGGAAACCACTCACCTTGTTTATAAGGGTATATAAGGCTTTGTCTTGTGCATCGTATTTGAGACACTGCCTAATCCAAGCATGGATAGTCCAGTCTCTCAGGTACCAGCAGTTGGGGCTATGTCGAAATCTAAATAAAGCACAAGAAAGCAATCTGCGGTTACATTAATGTCAAAACACACCTGCCATCAGCAGGTCCTTCTCTAGGTAGTAACAGAGTGCAGTCAATGGGACCTAAAGTCATAAAAGTCAATAGTTGGTAGAAACTTGAGGGTGAAACTCACTAGTTATAAAGCCTGAAATGAGAAAGAGAAGGTGAAATGATAAACAACAACCAAAAGATTAAAATTTTATTTAGCACCCCTTCCTTCAACATTTTGTTTTAATATGATTTACAAAAAATGGGACCAGCAGTTAGCGTAATGGCTATGTCGCTGGACTCCCACGTAGTCAACTGCGGTTTGAGTCCCGGACCCGGTGGCTTAAAACTCACGCCGGGCGCGTGTGCGTGTGTGTCCAAGATCCTGAGAGGAGAATGGAGAAGGGATTGCGGCATGGCCATCCCCCCGGGGGGGTGATTTCTCACTTTCTATCTCTCTGTCTCTGTCTGGCGAGCGCACGCACCCTATAGCAAAAACCTCTCAAAAAAAAATATGATTTACAAAAAATGATTTAAGGCAAATAAACTATGGCTTTATGTATATATGTATTTTATTAGAAATGTGCAGCTGAAACAGAAAATTCGGAAGTTTAAAGAAAAACAGATGGAGGAAAAAAATGAGAAGTAGGATAGCACAGCAACTCCAGAGGGAAATCAGCTTTGAGTTACAATGATATTTCTTGTGACATTTAGGAGTGATTAGGACATTCTTCACTGAATCAAAAGAACATGAAAAGGGGCTGGCAGGTGGCATGGTGGTTAAGGGTGATACACTCCCACATGGCCAACTGCGGTTTGAGTCCCGGACCTGGTGGCTTGCTTTCTCACTCCATCCTCTCCCGGCCTCGCTCTGTTCCTCCCTGGTGAAATTAAAGATAAGTAAGTAAGAAAAAAAGAAAGTAAATAAATAGATGTTAAATAAAATAATTCTTAAAAAAAAGAGCAAAATTTAACATTCAGGTTCTCCAGGACCGTTTAGAACCCTAATTCCTTCTTTGTACCTCCCTTCTAGCCCTTTGGTCTCTCTCTCCTCTTGCTTCCTGATCTTCCCACATGATCTTGGCAGTCCTGAGCAGCCAAAGGTGATATGGTAACAGTATTCCCACAAAGGAGTGACACTTGGAGAGGAATTCCCAATGCTGTTCTTGCCTTGAGAAACACACTGGTAGCTCCTGGGGTAGGAGCTGTTTCTCCTGTTTCTTGGGATCCATGACAAAGGACTAAGTTTGCGTGGAGAATGGGCTAGGAGAAGGGCGCTTTGCAGTTCTTCTTTTAATTTATCTGTTTTGGTTAGGATGGATTCTCATATATCACATCATATCAACTGAAGTCCCTGTGTTTTCTTAAACCATTCAGGAAGCAGATCTAGGTACCACAAAAATCAAACTCTTTTCTTCCAAAAAAAAAAAAAAAAAAAAAGTAAGACAAAAACTTGGTGCTAAAGATTCTGTGTCATATCTGAGAACTGGGGATATAGGCTAATACTAGAGCTTTTTCAGAGGCTGATTATTCAATCTGCCACCTGCTATTTCCTGCCATCTGCTATTGGGATAGTTTCCTTCTGAACAGGTTCTCTGCCAAAGTAAAAGCTGAGAAAAGGAGAGGAAGTGAGAAATAGTATTTAATTTAGACTATCTATTAGTGTTCTGGTGAGAGATTTGGTAAAATTAAGATTTGAAGAGGTTTTCTGGATTTAGAATCACCTAGTCCTCTCCATTCTTTTGAATATCTTAGGTTTGGCTGGAAAATGTCATTCACCCCATTTTTTTTCCCTCTTACATAATTAGTCTCTTTAACATCAGAAAGACAGAAATATGTTAAACTAATTTCAGGACGAGAATAACCTGGACAGAGAAAAGTTCCCTAGTTGTAAGATCTAATAAAATCCTCTGTATAGGGAAGAAACAAAATACACATTTTAGTTCTTATTCATATTTTCTCTCACATTTCAAAATAGTAGTTGAGGGGACCAGCAGTTAGCGTAATGGCTATGTTGCTGGACTCCCCTGTAGTCGACCATGGTTTGCATCCCAGACTGGGTGCGTGCGTGTCTAAGATCCTGAGAGGAGAATGGAGGAGAAGGGATTGCGGCGTGACCATCCCCCCTGGGGGGTGATTTCTCGCTTTCTGTCTCTCTGTCTCTCTCTGTCTGTCTGGCAAGCACACAAGCCCTACAGCAAAAACCTCTCCCCCCAAAAATAAATAAATAAATAGTAGTTGAGCTACCTGAGCTCTTCTCCTTGTTACTCTGAAAGACTTGAGTTTAAACTGCAATGGCCAATTAAAAGTTAATCTTCGTATTAAATCCAACCTTCTCGCCTTCTCCAACGACCACTAAACTATAACTTTTTTGTTGATGGACTTTAAAATACACAGGATCTTCACAGAATTTATGGAAAATGGTGCCGTATGACAAAACTATCATGGATTTCTTTTATTTTTTTAAGGGGTCATATGATGGCGCCTCAGTGACAGAGCTGGTTGCTACCCACATGGGAAGGTTCCTATCTGCAAAATTGCCCCAAATGCGACTTGCTTAGGGAGAATGTAGTATTTGTCTGTCTGTCTCTCTCTCTCTCTCTCTCTTGTTCATAGAAGAAAAAAATAAACTTAAAAACATTTTTTTTAAAAAAGAAAATACTTGAGACCAGCAGTTAGCGTAATGGCTATGTCGCTGGACTCCCACGTAGTCGACCATGGTTCAAGTCCTGGACCCAGCGGCTTGGACTCATTCTGGGCGCATGTGCATGCATGCCCAAGATCCCAAGAGGAGAATGGAGGAGAAGCGATTGCGGTGTGGCCATCCCCCTGGGGGTTGATTTCTCGCTTTCTGTCTCTCTGTCTCTCTCTGTCTTTCTGGCGAGCGCACGCACCCTACAGCAAAAACCTCTCCAAAAAAAGAAAAGAAAATAATCAAGTGAAATACCAGGTGTATTGTCTCAATGATGATGTTCCTTCCTCATTAGCTTGGTGCTCAGTGGGTAAGTAAGGGCAGCCACTGGCCTTCTTAATACCAATTCCTCAGTGCTTCAGGTAATTCTTGGTACACATAAAGGACATTTTGCTTTCACCAAATACAATAAGAGCTCAAATCAATACATGTATTAAATAGTATTAAGTGCTAATCATTTTGCTAACATCTAAGTTCTACATGAAGAAATTACACGTTCTCTGTCTGCAGCATTTACAACCTAATTTCCAAAAGAATGAGCATTTAGTTTAACAATTACACAAGGTGGGGTGTGCTAAGTGCTAAAGGCAAGGGATTGCTGATGCTAAAGGTTTTCTGGTAGTATGACAGTCCATTTTCCTCTTAGAAACAAACAAAAGAAAAATGCCATTTTGCCTTCTTTACCCAAGATTCTTTGAAATCTAATCTTCATATTAAATCCAGTCTTCTTGCCTTCTCCAATGACTACTAAACTATAACTTTTTTGTTGATGGACTTTAAAATACACAGGATCTTCACAGAATTTATGGAAAATGGTGTAGTATGACAAAACTATCATGGATTTCTTTTCTTTTTTATCAAAATAAACTCTCACCTAATTTCATTTTCTCACAACCTTTTGAAGTTCCGGGGAAGAGTACCCAACCAATCACCTGTTCTCTTATTCATGATGGCAGATTGCTTCTAGGTGCTGAAGAACAGCAAGGATGCTAGTGAGAACCTAGCTATAGTCCTTCAAAATGCAAATTAGCATTTATTGAAAGCCAGTTGCTATCCTTCCAACATTAACTCCAACATATGGAAAAACAGAAAAGTATGCTTTTCTCAAAAGTCTCTTCTTCGCACACTTGATTTCTTATAAACCTAAAGGAAAAGTTACTGAAGACTTTCCACATCTCATTTAATCATCTCCATACATCAACACTTTGAGAGATTTGTCAAGAGTCTCACAGAGGTCTTCAATAAGTCCATCTCCTCTCCCATCCTACGACAGGGCACTTGGTATAATCTCTGCTCTCTAAGACCTAATCATCTAGACACACAACCACTTCAAGGATATTTTCAATTCTCCACATTAAACTGATTCAGGGAAAACAGTGAAACACACACACATATACATATATATATATATATATATATACACACGTATATACGTACATATACATATGTGTATATATATTCTGAAATACGCTGCCAAAGGGCAATGCCTGCACTTTTCAGCCAGGCAGAAAATGAACTCCTTCCTATGTCCCTATCAGTGTTAAAAGAGAATTATCATATAACTTATGTGAGTAGCTATCTGAGATATAAACTAGTCAAAACATTCATCCAGTGTGATCTAATTTCAGATGGAGAATTTGAGAAAAATTCCCATATCAATAGCTTCAAGCAGTTTAGACAGAAGAGTTGGGCACTTTTCAGAACTCCCAGTAGTAATATGGCAGGCAGGTAAGTGTCTGAAATGAGTACTTGCCTGGGAGGATTCTGCTGACTGCTGGACCAGCAATCTCCTCTTCAGCCAGGAGAAAGGCAAAAAGTCAAGAACACAACTAACATGTTGATTTTCCAACTTGCCTGCAAACAGACTGGCTTTTATTTTTGCCTGCTCTTACCACCAGCATGGCAGATTACAGTCGGCCACTGTAGGGAGTCCCTTCTGTGCCCCCAGCCATCAGCTGTTTGCTCACCTTCATAGAAGCTTTATTAATGCCTATGCTGGCAGGCTGCCAAGATACAGGAACTATCCAGTGTGGAAAAGATAAACAAATGCAACCCAAATAACTCCAACAGTGTTGTGCTCATGAAGGCAAGAAATACTCTGAGCTTCCGGCTTATAAAATATGAATAAACTTACAACAACTCTAAGGTCATGCATGTAGCTTGGCAGTAGGAGGGGCACAAAGAATGGAAGGTGCTCTCCAATGCTAACTCTAGTTCTGGAAGTTGGTATCCCATGGCTGAAGAGATCCCTGTCTACAGTGCTAAGTGGGGCTTCCAGTGAAGACAGCTTCCTAAGAAG